CATGACGGGCACCAACACGGGTGTTGTCGCAAGACTCGGCGCCAAAAACCCGTATCTCGCCTCGTGCCACTGCATAGCTCATCGGTAAGAGCTATTATGCGCACCATAAATATTCATACCCCGTTTGATATGAACTAATTTATTTATGTTTGTATTTGTGCAGAGAGGCGTTGGCTGCAAAAGATGCGGCTCTGAAAGTGCCAGAGTTTAACATCGCCGATACTGTCGTTCGTGGCTTTGCGAAGCAGTTGTCGAGAAGCAGCATGTGGCACCAGCGATTCAAACACCTGCAGGAGATAATATGTGACACCAACCTCGAACTTTAGGGGATTCACGCCGTAAGATGGCTTTAAAGAGGGGAAGCCTTGAAAACATTTGCCAAGGCATTGCCCGCGACCGTGGTGCTGCTACACGGGTACAAGCACGAGTTGTACGAAGTCGTAACGTCGTTAAAGTTTCACTTAATGATGTTTTTTATTTTTCGGACATCCTCGCCATCCTCAACGATGTGAACTTGAAGTTTCAAAAGCATCAGGTGACTTATAGCAATTTTGTACCGTGCTAGACTCATTTAATTAATATTTGGTGTTTAACAGATATGTGTGTTGTTAACCCTTTGCAGGTGGACATCACTATGGTCGCGGGAGAAGTTTCTCTAGCATGTCGCACGATCGAGGTGCGATACGTGGATTGCAAAGACAATTTTGGCAACGGGCAGTCACCCTTGCTCTGCGACTTCTTGAAGAAGCACGGGGATCACTCCTTCTGCGAAGTGACGGTCGAAGGCGTTGACAAGGACGACGCACCCGCTACTCACACGTTCAAGCTTCACAATAGGCCCATCAAGGGCCACACCACTAGCAGCGATTATTATGCATCCAAGAAAGTGTGTCAGGATTTTGCGCGGGAGACTGTAGGGCGGCTGGAGTTTTGACTCGAGGATTTGGCGGGTATGAGCGTCTCGAAGCTGCGGAGAGTCACTACACAACTGGAGTGGACTACGGAGGAGGGCACGGGGTTGTGCGAGTGATCGTAGCGCTCTAATAGCGTTCTTACTTCTTGCTTGTGTTCACACAGAAGTTTGGCAAGAATTCCACTATGGAAGTTGAAAGAACAATCTGCATTGAAAAGTTGATAGTACAATTGTGATCGTATCGCTCTAATAGCATTCTTACTTCTTGCTTGTGTTCACGCAGAAGTTTGGCAAGAATTCCACTAAGGAAGTTGAAATAACAATTTGCATTGAAAAGTTGATAGTACAATTGAGGCATGCAGAACAAAGGGACTAGAATGGCATGCAACACCTAGCAAGGGCGAAATCTGCCAGCGCAGCAGAAGAGGGGCTTGCCAACGCTGCAGCAGAGTAGTCTGCCAGCGTTGCTCTGCACGCGGTCTGCCAGCACTGCAGTCGCAGGTGACTATCTGCAGTCGCTGGTTGTCTATCTGCGCAGATGTGCGCACCTACCAAGTAGGTGCAGGTTGGCGGTTTCACCGTCAGTCACATTGCGCATGTGCCAGGTAGAAAACGTGTCGTCAGTTTGGCCAGGTGCGCACCGTTGACCACGTGATGCTGTTCCGCAGGTTGAACTTCGCCAAAACCTCCTGGGCGAAAGTTTGCACGCCTCCGCAGAGTTTCGCACACCTTTGCGAATTCGATCGATCAGCTCGACATTGATCGGTCGAACAACGCTCGCCGAGCAGAGCTCCTCGACCCGAACTCTTCGACCAGAGTTTCTCGACCAGGATCGTCGACCAGCGCTCTTCGAAGGGAGCTCGTCGTGCAGCGATCGTCGACCAGAGCTCGTCGCGCAGAGCTGGTCGACCAGATTCTGTCGAGCAGAGCCTGCTCGACCGAAACTTCCGTCGAACAACAGAAGCCCATTTCTTCTACCAAGCCGTCGAGAACTTCCCGTCGACGGCGAGATCGGCTGCGCCCAAAGCGATGGCGGGGCCTTTCTCTTCGACAGAAGCTGTACCGCCCGGGAACGTATCCCGATGGCAACAGTGAGCGGATGCAAAAGTGTTATGAGTGGCCGGGACTCCTCGACAATACTTTCCACTACTGTCTCCCTGGTACGTGCGCTTGGTGCTGTACGGCAACATGTTGGGATTAACCCATGAGCACCCCTAAACCGCGTACACACGTTGGCGTGTTGTTGTTTTTCCTTACTGCGCTTGTTACTGTTTGTTGACATGTTCTTTAAACCCACCAATACCCTTCCCCCATGTACCCACTTGCCCGTCAGGTGTCTGCTTCAAGTCGTGCGAGAGGGAGCTCTCGCTATTTCTGCATACGATGGACCTCAACCACGTGAATATGAGCTTCCGCAAATCCCTCACCGTCATACTCCGCACCACCGACTACGCTGGTGCCTACCTGAACATCGTACAGCTGTGGCAAGCTGTAGCCGTGCTCCCTCTCAGCACCGTGGAGTGCGAGCGCGGATTCAGCCGCCAGAACCGCATCAAGACGTGGACCAGGACATGCCTGGGCGATGCAAGACTGTGCGATCTCATGATCTGTGCACTTCTGGCAAGCAACGATGTGAATTGGCCGCATGTGGTGACACTGTTCCTGGCTATCAATAAGTGACGCCTAGCATCAGAGTTCCTCTATTAACATGTGCTAGATATGTAGACTGGATAGTTTTACACTTGTAATATAATAGCCTATAGTTACTCATGATGTCTATTACATAAACTCGAAAATATGGTATCTTAGCGTTTCACACTGATGAGAAAAAATGGTATTGAAAATGACACTGTGTCAAGAAGCTAAAGGAAGTTAGGCTTATAAGCCATGGCTTGAGTTGAGTAGCTTAGGAACTTAGGTTTTGGGGTTGAAGGAGAGTAACGAGAAGTTTGCCAAAGCAAAGAGAGGGGATTCACTATAGAATTGCAAGTACAAATAGATAAGAAACATGCAAGGAGTGGTGCACCACCAAAGAGGACAACTACATGCACTTATACATAAAAATATATGAAGTATATTCTGACACACTAGTTTCTCAATGCGATTTTTTTTAACCCTTACAGAAATACCACGTCATGCAAACCACCCTTACGAGAAAAACCAAGTCAAATCCTATCCTGAGCCTATGCTATGCAACCTATCGTATCCCATGCATTACTTTTCTAAGCCAAATGCTAGACTTCAAGTGTATGTCCGTTCCTTTCAGCAGTGTACTAAGATCATCATCCTGTTAGTAATCGAATGCTTCTTTGTGGACAAAATCTTTTGCTCTCACGTGGCCTAGAAAACAAGCTGGTGTTCGGATTGTCCGACGTGGCAATTCGAATGACTGTCGCTCAAGATCCACTCAGCTCTCCCCTCCCACCCTGAAATTCGTCACTCTACGAATCTCGCATTCAAATCCAGCTCGGATGCAACGAGCTCTATTCTATCCTCTGACTTACTGCCACCCGAGCCGCTTCGTCGTACTGCAGTAATGGACGGCGCACCTGCTTCTAAATCCAGATTTCGAGAAATCCGACGGGTTGGAAGAATGCACAAAGGGCGAAAATCTAGAACATTCTCTCAACTCATCCTGTTATTTTCCCCCTTCCCCCCCACCCCACAACCACCCTTTGCCCTCCATCCTTCTCGTCTTGCTCCTCCAGCCAGACGATATTTCAGTATCATAAATATAACCACGCTCACACTTCTTCAATTACCCAGAAGAAATCGCGCCGTCTTTGTGTAAAATTCGAGCACAAAGCACGCCGATTCCATGGTGAACGGAGTTAGCCTGCAGAGACGGTTAAACGCTAATGGCTTCCGCTGTCGCGTTCCAGTCTGGTGTGCTCCAATGCAAAGGCCTCACGCCTCTTCCGCTCGCTTCTAAGAAGCAGCAGTCTCTCTCCGGCGCAGCGAGGATCGCCGCAAACACTCAATTAAGATCTCAAATCTCTCCTTCCTCATCCAGCGCTGCCGTCTTCTCTCGTCAAGTCCGCGTGTGCGCTTCCGCCGGCAGAAGTAACGATACAGCACGTCCTCGGCGTCCGCCGCCGAGACAGTCCCATCCGTTCAAAGGCCAGCCAGGCTGACGGAATCCGTCACGGAAGCCGTCAAGGCTGCCGTCAAGCCCATCCTTGCGGCCGCGCTGATCGCCTCAGTCCTCACAGGCACGCCGAATGACGCGCTCGCCGCGCAGGGCGGAGGCCGCGTCGGCGGAAGCTCCTTCTCCGCGTCGCGCGCAAACACCTACGCGCCTCCCGCCGCCACCTACGCCGCGCCGCCGGTCGTCGTCGCGCCCGTGACGCCGTTTTTCATGCCAACGCCGTTCTTCTTCTTCGGCCCGACGATCTCGCTGGGCGGCGGAGGCGGCATATTCGGGTTCCTGTTCCTCGCGATCGCCGTGTACTTCGTCGCGCAGACCGTGATGGGGTTCCTCGCGGACTCTGCGGAGGAGGAGGTGTGGGCGGAGACGCAGCGCAGCAGCGTGGTTCGCCTGCAGGTGAGCAGCGAGGGTGCATTCAATCAATTGTGACTGGAGCGCATTTCATTGTAAGGGTCTTTCGTAGCAAGGGTGCATACGTGGTACATTGGCAAAGAGTTGCTGGGAGCGGAGAAAGCGGTAAGCAGAGTGAGTGGCAAGGAAACATGGGGTGCGCGGAGCAGGACGCTCACGTCAATGCCGCAGTATCTAGCGAACGTCACGTAATGAGTAGTTCAGTGAATCACAGGGAACCTGCTTGATTAACGCGTCTACATAAGGTGGACACGAAGCGGTTCCGTCTTAGTAACTCGCCCCTCTCACTCCTTTCCCATTAGGAGGAACGGACTGCCAATCCCCAATAGTCCATGCTTAATCACTAATATTTGTACCGCCGCGCTTTCGCTCCCCCGCAGGTGGGCCTGCTGGGCACGGCGAGGAAGCTCCAGCGCGACCCTCGACCAGATGGCGTCGCGAGTGTTTTCGAGTCGACTCAAACACAGGCTAATCATTCAACCCTCTCGTTCCGCTCTCCTCCCTCCCCCCCCCCCCCCCCCTTCGCAGGTGGGCCTGCTGGGCACGGCGAGGGAAGCTTCAGCGCGACCTCGACCAGATGGCGTCGCGCGCCGACACCGGCTCGCAGGAGGCCTGCACTCCATCCTGCAAGGTGAGCATCCTGTGATTCGCGAACATGGACCCTCGCATTGCTTGAGTAACGGTCACTTTTCGGTCGATTTATATCCGGATTCTGTGTGTGGCTGGTGTTTCCGTCCTATTTTCTCATCTAGAAAAATTCCCAGCCAGCCCGTATCTCACGGCCCATGCGTTCTTCTTTTCGTCTCCGCTGCTCCCGTTCCTTCCTTCAGAGACCGTTCTCGCTCTCCTGCGCAACACCGACTACTGCATCTACGGCTTCTCCACGGTACGCTCGTCTCTCCACCGCTCTCACCGCATTTTCACCGCATTCGACCATCTGCGTCTTCCTTTCCCAATCCACTTCCCTTTCATTCACTTTCAGCCTCTCCTTTCCCCCTCCCCGTACCCCCGCTCCCCCCTCCCACCCTACACTTCCCTCTCTCTCTGTTTCTCTCCGGACCCTGTATTCTCCCTCCCTCCCTCTCCCACGCCTTTCTTCCTCTGCTCCTTATCATCAAAGCAATCCGCCCGCCATACAAACGATAAACAATGTTCCTGCTCTGCAAACCGTGTGCTTGATCCCATACGTGCAGTCGGAGACGGCCAACGACTCGTACGGGGGGAGGCGGCGTTCAACCGGCTGAGCATGGGCGAGCGCAGCAAGTTCAAGGAGGAGACGCTCGTCAATGTCGGCGACGTGCGGAAACGGTCGGAGCGCGAGCCCAGCGAGCACCGAATGAACAGCGAATACATTGTGGTACGTTGCACGTATATAGTAATTAATTCTCCAGGTTTTCATATTTTTCTTCAGCTTTTGCGTGTTCATCTGTT